TGTTGTCGTCGTCGTCGTCGTCGTCGTCGTCGTCGTCGTCGTCGTCGTCGTTGTCGTCGTCGTGTTGTTGTTGTTGTTGTTGTTGTTGTTGTTGTTGTTGTTGTTGTTGTTGTTGTTGTTGTTGTTGTTGTTGTTGTTGTTGTGTTGTTGTTGTTGTTGTTGTTGTTGTTGTTGTTGTTGTTGTTGTTGTTGTTTGGTTGTTTGTTGTTGTTGGTTGTTGTTGTTGTTGTTGGTTGTTGGTTGTTGGTTGTTGGTTGTTGGTTGTTGTTGTTGATGTTGTTGGTTGTTGGTTGTTGGTTGTTGGTTGTTGGTTGTTGGTTGTTGGTTGTTGTTGTTGTTGTTGTTGTTGTTGTTGTTGTTGTTGTTGTTGTTGTTGTTGTTGTTGTTGTTGTTGTTGTTGTTGTTGTTGTTGTTGTTGTTGTTGTTGTTGTTGTTGTTGTTGTTGTTGTTGTTGTTGTTGTTGTTGTTTCCCCAGTATGTATAGGGAGCTCGTGGGTTTTTGCTGGAAGGGGACTATAGCAAGCTAACCTGCCGGGGCGGAAAACAAGCCCGGGCCCTTATGAAGGTTCTTTCTGGTTTCCGTTTCCGTTTGGTCGAGGAAAGGGGTGTTCTGCTGGTTTTAGTCACATTCCAATCGTTTACAGATGCAATCTACGGCTGAGGGGGTTTTCCGGATTTGCAAGGCATACATTTTGTGCTGCCACGTCAGCTTTTGCTTAGTTTTCAGCACGTTCTTACTGTCCAAAGCCGACCTTTTGCCCTTTGGTTTTTCAGCTGGTATAGTGTTTAATCCGAATGGGGAAGCAGCAGCCACTTTTGGTAGGAGCGACTCGCGCGCTGCTACATGCCACGCAACGCGGCCTCAGGGTTCCTACTTCCCTTGGCATCACCAGTGGGAAGGCCAACTTGAAGTGCAATTCTTTGAATGTTTGTCAAAGAAGAAGCAATGTCAAGCATTCATTCATTGGGGCCAGGAATCACCGTCGTTGCAGGTTTTTTTGGGTTGCGGCATGCCGCATGTTCGCGTTGCTTGGTGTCGTTTGCTGCCGGTCCAAGGTGCGGACCGACAGTACCAGGATGTTCGCTGGCAACCTGCCCTGGACAGCTACATGCGCAAGGAGGCGCTTTCGGTGCAAACGTGCCTCTGGGTCTGCCAAGTCTATCTGGTTTAAACTTGGCTTTAGAAGTCACGCCTAAACAGCTACGTGTCCACCTCGGCAAAGCCAATCTGCGAGTTGGCACCCCAAAGTGAGCAGGTAATGTCTTCTCCGTGCTTTTTGAGGCGACGAAGGGCTTGCAGAAGATGCCTCGGGCGGTGGTCATGAGCATGGAGCACGTCATGCCCTGGGGCAGCTGGGCATTGGAAAGTTAAGCGCCGGAAGCCTCGAATGAACTTTGGGGGACGTTTCTGGCCGGTTTCCGGACTCAGAAAGGGCGGTCATTTCCTTTCACGTGGCAGAAGAACCGTTCCAAACATGTATAGCATTTTTTGAAAGCCGGCCATTTGTGGCTGGGCTTACTGAGGAAAGCATTGGGTGAATCAGCACCTTGGCTGCCCTTCGAATCCGGCATGTCATGTCCTTTCGCTTTTCGGTGTGAACTGTCGATTTGTTGCACCTACCCAGCAGCCAGGAACAAGGTTGGACGCCCAATTTGTTGCTTAAACAACTCACCAGAAAACAGTTTGTCAGGTCTGTGCCGTCATGGCTGGTGTAGTGATTTTGTCAAGGGACCATTTGGCAGCGCCAAGCTCCCAGGTGGCCATTGCTGCGTGAAGGGGGAGGTTCAACCTCAAGTTTTTCCAGACCCCCATGATGTGATCTCAACAATGGTTCAAAAAAGCGGTTGTAAGTCCCTTCAGCAGATGTGGGTCTAGGACCGGAAAGGAAGTATCACTCAGTATAGTTGGCTTTCTCTTTCTGGCCCTTGGGCGGAAGGGGATCAACCTTCCGCAGTTCAATGACACTGACACGGGTCTCATTTGTTTGGCTTGTTTGGCTTGCTTCCGGTGATTGCCAGGTATGTTTTGTTTTGCTAGCGCTGGGGGTTGCACCTCTGAAATCAGGAGATTTCCAGGATGCAGCTGTCGTGTATCCAGATGACGCCGAATCCTTTTGGCCTGGCTATGTTCAGACAAAGCCTGGTCATTTCCAGATGAAGCCGGGCTATTCCAGCAATGTCCTGGTTATTCTTTCAGACCGTCTTTTGCTTTGCGCGGTTCGGCTTTGGGCCTTTTCATCCGCCGCGAAGCTCATGAAAGTGGCCTCCTCGAACAAGGGCGTGGGAACCACCCGAGTGATGTCGAGAAGCTCTAGAAGCAGAACCCAAGCGACCGAAGAAAACCACGGTGATTCCAAGCCGAGGGTTGAGCCCCGGGAAAGGTACATGCCCCACCACTGGGTGGCTGCGGTGGTCCCGGATCTGGACGCCGCGCCAAGCGCCCACTGCCTGGACTTCGAGTACAAGGCGTGCACGGCGTTTCGCGTGCCCAACCTGTTCAAGCCTGAACCCCGTACTGTTTTAGAGGAAAGCCTGAGCGCGCATGTTTGAACAACCGGGGTTTAACTATAAGCAACTAGTCTAAACACCACCCCCCCCTGGACGGTCACTGCATTGCGCTTATTTCACAACGCACTTCTTTGGGGCGTTTTCCGGGTTTGGTGCTGCGCTTTGTCTTTTAAATTGCAAATTAACATGAAATCAAGCAAAAAGTGATCTGCTGAAGTACCTGACCCACTCAGATCTACCCATCCAGGTACCTTTTAGGAAAATGACCAACTCGCTTGGGCAAGTACTTGGCCAACTTTTTGTGGCTATGGCTATTAGGTTCCACTATAGGAACAATCAAATGGGTATGGAACAGGTGAAGACGGCAGATCCTCACCAACTGCCCCTTTCTTTCCAGGCATCCTTCCAGAAATCCACCCAAAACACCCAGGGAAAATACTTGGTTTTCGACAGCCTGAGCATCGAACATTTGTCCTTGCACGGAGCTGGAAAGGAAAAAGCGACCATTCCACAAAGGACATGGACATCTTTAAGGAATTGGTTAAGGAATCCTCGTAAGGAAGCTTGAGCAATTGTTTAAGGAGTCCACCATGTTTTGGGACGACTGAGGACAACCCTGAGGGTGATCCCAACGGCTGTGGCTTCTTTTGGCGCTCCTTCCAGCCGGTGCAGGCGGGGGCGAGAGTGGGAATGTGGTGGGGTCATGGAAGCCGCGTTGTTGATATGCTTGCTTGGTGGTCTTGCAGTTTGGTTGGTGGTGGTTCAGTGGTTTGAAAGGGAAGCTAAAGGGACACTCATTCTGGGGCTCCACCATTTTGAGACACAACCACCGTGACGATTTTGAGTCGGCGGTTTTCGGGAGGTTGGTTGCTCAGACCAGCGGCGCTTTTTTTTTTTTTTTGGGGGGGGGGCGCCCTGCCCCTTAAGATCTTCCCTGGCTATGGGGCTGGGGCTTGTTCAAGGGAAGCAAAGCAGGAGACTGGCAAGGTGGTTTGGCGCGGGCCATCGCAATGGTGATCGGGCATCTGAGGGTTGTTCAACATGGCGATGCCCTTTTGTCAGCCCCGCTTGACCACCCCCCCAACCAGATTAAAAGATGAACAACCCCCAAAATGGGTCAAGGGGAATGTCAGGTACAGGGGCTCAAGTGGGATTATGTCAAAACAGGGGGACCTTCCAATTTGTGCCCTGCACGCCAACCCAAAAAGGGGTTCCCAATTCCCCCGAAGGAGGGAGCAAACACTACACACACACACACCCACACCCACACAGACAAAAACCTGTCGCCAAAAAATTGGGAGCGCCTGAGGAGCTCAACCGCTGCATCATGGACGCCCTGGAGCAGAGCCGCAGTTGGAGCGGCAGGCGATTTGGTCCATTTTGGCTCATGACTTTCCGGCTCTCCTGAAACTGATGGACCCTGCAAAAATTGCATATCTATTTTAGCGTTTGCGATTGTGTTGGAAGGACGCCAAGGGAAGCCACCTGTTTTGGGCGGGCACTGAAGGCACATGTTGACCTCTGGATTCTGTGCAATCATGTCGGAACCATATGCAAGGTCCTTTGGCTCAGACTATACCTTCTTTCTTATTGACCTCTTTCAATGTGGGTCCACGACTGTCCGCAAAAGGGCTCTTTCCTCTCTGCCTTTTGCCGTTGGCTTTTCGCTCTCTCTCGTCGACTCGTGGCGAGGAAGGCCATCATGGGTGCGGAAATGGCGGTGTCGAATGCGCTTCTGGTACTGCAGGCGCGTTGACGGGTGGTTTGGGCAACATGGGTGGGCCCTTTAGTGGGTCCAGCACGCCTCAAGGAGTCAAGCAGCCGAAGAGAGGAGCTGCGCTTGTAGCGCAAACGGGCGAAACACTTCCGCTTCGAGCTTTTGCGATGTTTCAACCAAGGCACGCCCATAGGCGGAGACGACCTTGTATGTCTGGGGATCCCTTCGTCGCGTTTGAATGCCCTCGGTTGCTTCTCAGCTCTAGGTGAGTGCTTAATGGTCAAAATATTGGTTTTGCTACCACGATCCACAAGGCGGGCTCAATTTTTCCAAACGCACCGCGTCAAAATAGTTGGCCAGCAGATGGATGGTCGGAACTTCAGCCAAAATGGGGCAGCCGATTGAAACAGCTCATGTACATGTTTGGTGCTGCTATTTTGGCACTTCAGTTGTTTTCAGTTTTGGTAGCTTGTGCAAGATCTAGCCATGTCCGCGTGGTTTTGGAAGCCATGGCAAGACCAACCGATTTTTACCCCAGGCTGGAGGTTTTCGGGCGGATCTCCCCTCTTGCCAGTTGACGCTGGCTATTCGGCAGAGGTCCCCTGGCACCTCGCAAGGGGGCGAGTTTTTCTAATCTCAGGGTGCTCTGGGAGTTTCCTCGGTTGAACTCTGCGCTCAGTCTTTGCGATCTGCCGTGGCCATTCCAGCGACTTGTATCGAGGCGGAGGGCCGCCGCTTTGTGGTTTCGGCCCAGCCGGCGAAGTGGAATGAGAAGGACTGGGGGCGAAACGCGCGGAAGCGAAGAGTCGACCAAAGGGGAAGACACTGGAAGGCCAGGTGCGATCAGCCGCTCCCCCGCCCCTTCCCCCCCCCCCCCCCACCTCAAGGATGGTTGATTGAACTACCCGCTTTGGAAAGCAGGTTGCCTGCCCGGGTTTAAGAGGTTGGTGGGTGCAAACTCTGCCAGAATCAACACATTTTCGGTGCAATGGCTTGCTCTCAAGGGCGACCAAGCACGAAGTATATGTAGGCTTGGTTGTTCCCGTGTTTGAGCTTTGGTTGAACCCAATTTTTGGAACATGGCCATGGCATTCCAGGGGTTGGACGAAGCCACCTGTGCTATGCCTACGCCCAGCGGATGCACCAAGAGGGATCTAGCCAACCAGTTGTTCGACTTCTTGAGCATTGCAACAAGGATAAGCAACCACTTTACTTTGAGGTGTCCATTAACTCTTGGACGTAAGTCACACAGCTAAATATGTACATACTGGGCCCTCCTAAGTGTGCATTTTTTGCTGTTTGGGCAAAAGGCTCCTTTTGCTGCAAACGACTATTTTTTTTTGCCTCAGTGCATTTTTGTGAATTTTTCTGTTTTGCGAAACCAGTATGAAGACGAAAAGGCGGCTTTGCCCGACCCAAAGGCGACATTTCTCGACCAAAAAGCGACATGTGCCGACTACGTTCTGGCAAGATCTTGAAGCAGCACTTTCAAAAGGGCAATGTTATTTTTGGAGCAAACGACACAACATATTGCTTTTTCGGCAAGCTGCGGGAAAAAAACACACCTGGAGGGTCTAGGTTATATATATATATATATAGTATTTGTACATGTATCTTTTTATTTATTTATTTACTTATTTATATTTTCATGCAGATCTCAATTCATCCATCCATGAACCAATCAATAGGGGAATCATGACCCAAATCATTAAACCTGTGTTTTGTTCACGTGTTGTTTCATCATGTGGCAAAACGGCCGAATGGCCGTTTGGCTCAAGATTTGGATCCCCCGTCGGGACTTCCTTGGATTTGCGTGCGTTCGCCATAGTGCGGCGATTGGCTGCACCATCGCGGAAAAGGTCCGTGGTGTTCCAGCTGTTCGGCACTAGGAGGTGGGCGGCAGGTCGCCGAGGTGCTCCCGGGCCCGACCCTTGTCTTTACCCTCTTCTACCAGTTTCCTAACCTCCCCAAACTTGATCTTCATTAACTGTCACTCCCACAATCTGGTCACCGGCACCCTCTACATTGTGCTTTGGGACTGGGTTCTTTTGGTACTTCGTGAACCACGTGTACCTCTTTGATTCCCTGGGCTACTTCGTGTTCGCCCAAAACCGCAGGTTATCAGCCGTACCAGCTAGAAGCTGGGGCTGGTGATCCGGTTGCGGGACGTGACCCGCTACCTGCTCCCATCGCCTACTTGTACGAGCAATGGCGTCCCCCGGAGCTTCTCATCGTGGGCCGGGCTTCGTGGACGACGAGGCCAACGCCCTTCGCGGCAACGCCGCGCCTGCTGCTTCCGGCTTAGACAGCCGGCTGTGGCCCATTCCCCCGATGGTGGGCGCAGAGCCCAATCCCGGGGTGATCACGGACGATTGGATCCTTTCTCAGGTTGTGTTTGATGAGGATGCGGAGGCCCCTATCCCGGCGGCAGTGCTCCAGATCGAGGACGGACCCCCTCTAGAAGAGGCTGAGGTTCCTCCAAATCAGGTGCCCTCATCGATTTCGCCTACTGTTCCGTTCGTGGCGCTCCAGATCGAGGACCGGGCTATCCATCATGCTGCTCATCCGGAGCCGGCTCAATCATGGTCCCTTACATGGGATCAGTTTGACCAACTCCTCGGCAGTGGATCGCAGGCTACACCGCCTGATTTCGGTCGGCTCGACTTTAACTCGGGTGCCCCCGTTTCGGTTGGGAATCTGGATTTTCAATCCCTTTTTGATGCTGATTGGAGGTCTCAGCCTTCCCGAATTGACAGATCCTTTGATGCCCTGCCGTCGCATGAGCCTACTCAGGGTTTTCCTCATGATGGAGAAAATGACCCCGTTGAAGATTTCTCCCCTTCTCATGTTGCAGGTTCGGCCCAACCCGAGGTGGGCAAACGGGCGATTGAGGATTGGCCGCAAATAGCTGGCCCTCCTCCCGTCTCAGGTTCATCCGACATTGACATCATTCACGATCACCCCAGTCCGGCGGATATGGACTTCATCCCTGATGCAGTATCATCTCACCTGTCAGGTACCCGCGACCGGAATGCGGACCGCTACAACGCTGGTCCGAATCCACCGCTTTCCTCAGGTACCCGAGGTCGGGATGCGAACCGCTACAACGCGGGCTCAAATCCGCCAAATCGGACATCAGGTACTAATCGATCGGATGTGGGCCGCGAAACAGCAGGCCCAAATCCTTCCTCCTCTTCGTCAAGAAGCCATGCCGGTCTCTTCGCGGCGTTCAATCGGCGTCAGACTCGAAAAGAGTCCGCCCCCGACGTCATCGACCTCGAGGAGCAGTCCAGCCACCGTACCAGCGATGGATCCGAGCAGGATACACCTGGTATTGGCTCCACTCCATTTGACCTCCTCGACATCCCCTTCCATCAGCCACCCAGGAGAGGAAATGAAGATGATGAAACCATCCCTGGAATCCTTGATGTAATCGATGAGGCCGAGGTCACACCAGAGAGACGAACGACATCGCTCCCGCCGAGCCGCGTTGCCAAAGTACTTTCCCCTAAGCCACTCATTGGTGACGTTGCTCAACGGCTTGATCTCACTCAACCTGATCCAGATCAAGCTCAACTTCGCGGGTCGTCATCTTTTGATAACATGTCGGGACAAACCGGCACTGACTCACGAGCCACAAAGAGGAGCTCTGAGTCACCCGAGAGACGTGAAGCTGCTTTGCGATTGCGATCTAATCCCCCAGCTCATCACGATCCTATTGACGTTCCTATCCACTCTGCGGGGTCTGGGCTCAGCTCCAATGCCCCGATGTCTGAGAAGGAGACTGATGACGGGATTAACTCTACGCCCAGGAATCGGAGACCTGGACTCAGCACTGTTGCTCCTGGTCATGGAGGGCTTCCTTCAAATCAACCGGTCAACAACTCCCTCGTCCCCGCATTCTTTCAAATTGGAACTCCGGGCTGCACTCCTGACAGGGAAGAAAATAGGCGCGGAGATCATGACGCTGATAGTCGTCCTGCTCCGTCTGCTTCCACAAGTGGCGGCCATCCTGTTGCATCTGAGCTTCAACGACTGCTTCTCGCGATCCACAACGAGGTAAAGGGGTGCAAGGCCGAAATCCAGGGATGCAGAACCGAGATTCGTTCATGTAGGGATGATATCAACGCTTGCGTCGGTGAGATCAAGAAGATCAATAACCGTGTTGACGCCTTCGAGAAGAAGGTTGAATCATCTTTCTCTGCCGTTGCCGGAACTCTCTCAAAACACGAGGCCAAGTTCCGTGATTTCCACGAGTGGGTCGCCCGAAGCGAGAAGGAGATGAATGAGCGTTTCAAGATGTATGATGAGAGGTCTGACTCGATCGTCATATCCGCTGCTGAACTTCGCGAGCAGGCCGAATCACTTGAGAACGTCAAGGTCCAGCTCCTTAGGTTCTCTGAGATCGGGGCCCTTGAGGCTGAGGTTCGGAAAATCAAGGACGAAGTTGAGGCGAACTCTCGCAGTGTCATCGACATTGAGGGAACCATCTCAAGGGAAAGAACCATCCGTGGGAACGTCGAGACGTATATCCAGCAGCTCGTTCCTGCGACCGACCTGAAGCAGTTCAGTGATAGGATGTCCGGAGCCCTCAATGAGAACTCACAGAAACAGGAAGAGTTCAAGCTTCAATTGTCCCGTATTGCTAGGTGCGTCAAGGACCTTCATGACAAAAGCTTAGGCCCCAATCCGAGGGACATGCAAGAGCAGTTTATGAAGCTTGTGCTGAGGGTCAATGAGATCAACATGCAGATCGCTGAGTTGAGGGAGCAACCTCTTGCTGCCTGCGGATCTTCAAGTGCTGGCGCTGCTTCGACCGCCGGAACGGGACCATGGGAGAAATCTGGAGACACTGATCCCTTAACCCAGGGAAGGGCTCCTAGAGATTCTCCCTCTCGTGATGCTCGCACCGTCAGCTCGGCTAGGCCTCCTCCACCTCCACCTCCTTCAGGGCCACCCCCACCGTCACCATCAGCCCCCATCTTCGGCAGGGATCCCTCTAGAACGAGGGCCATTGCTCGGGCTGCCGGCGCTGCCCCTGATAACCGGGCCAGGTGTGATCATGAGGAGCCCGGGCATCCACAGCATCGGGAACCTCGCTATCCATGCCGAAGCTGCGGCAAGTCAGTCTGCGAAGACTGCTTTGACCATGATTGTAACTCGTGTTTCAAGTGCAGCGATCAGTTTCCTAGATGCCGCGCATGCAGAGGAAGAGGGGGGAGACACGGACTTGTGAGGTGTCTCATATGCAAGGACGAGTACTGCGATCAACACATCGCCTCACCTGACGATGTGCGCCGTTTTGGATCGAGTGTTCGACCTATTTGCCTCGGTTGTCTGAGAGCTGACCCCGACGGGAAAACTAAGCATCGCGGTCCCAGTGCGGGGCCTGGAGGACCTGATTGCATTCCTGATCATAATCAGCGGGATGGCACTGCTCCTGATCCTGGATCCGGGCCATCACGTGGAGATCCGTCACATCGGAGTCCTGAACCGCACCAAGGGAACTCTGGTTCCTGTTCCCACGCCGGAGCTGCCGGGCCAATGCCACCAAGGGCGATGTCTTCGCCCGTAGTCGGGCGAGCAGTTCCGAGGGGGACCATCAACACGTATCCCGGATGTTCCCCTACAGGGGGGATTTTCACCGGTCAGGTTGAGCATGGAACGTCTCAGGGAGTCATTCGCGGGAGGTACGGACCTGACGCTGCTGTGACAAATCAGCAGAATCCACAGCCTCACCACGGAGTACAGGATAACTCTGGCGGGCCGACTGGT